CGTAAACAACTTTTCTTACAAAATTCGTCCTGCATTTACTTTCAAGTGCAGGCTGCGCTGACATCGCAAGCACTAAATAATCGTAGGAGCTATCAACTGCAGGCATGTATGTGTTTAAAAAAATTTTCTACCAAACTTATTGAAAAAAAAATGAAAATTTTCGGATTCTTGGCTTTCGTCCTTATATCCGTCGGCTCATTTTCCGTTTTTTTCTCAATGCTTTTTTTTTTTATAAATTTCAGCCTAATTTCCATGGTTTTTTTTAATTAAACCATTTTTGCTATAACTGAAAGTTGTTTTGTAATTCGTAAAAGTCTGAAGTTGAATAATTTCTTTCATTTTTTTCTAAAGTTGTTTTTGGCTATTTGGGTTTTACGCTTGGGATTAGCAAGCATTATCAAACTGGAATATATAATTTCGGGTTAACAATTAGTTAAACAGAATCACTGAATCATTTTATCTTTGGCTCATTTGAAATCAAAAGTCAGACGTTAATTCGCTCTTGTGGCAAAGAGGTTACACACCTGCCTATATCGACAAATTCTTGTCGGCTTAGGTCCCGCAGAAAGGTTCGGTTTCTTTTAAGCTTTTTGAAAGCTCTGTTTAAAGTTTCTAATGTTGCAGGTTTTTTTTTCAGGAATTTTTGTTCGTTCTTCCAATTTTTATAACTCGCTTTGACAAAAAAAAAAGTTTATTTTTAATTTTTATTTTCTTCAAATTTTGATTTGTCTATTCATTTGGTGGTAATCATAGTCATATATTTTTGTATCGCAAGTGATGCGAAGCTCTGCTTCGCCTCTTTTTAAAACTGTTTTGACTTGTATTAATTTGGCGTAGTCATCGTATTTTGCACATTTTTGTGGGCAACATTTTTTTTTGATGCTTTTTAGGGATTTAGGGAGATAGGTCGTGAAAGCTTAGAAGCTAAAAATTTTTTATGACAACAGTTTTGTTTACGGGGTTCGATCCAATTACTGGTTTAGCCCATTTTTCTTTCAAATGGATTGAAAGAAAATTATTTCCCAACTATTCAAAGCATTTCCCAAAAAGCAGTTGGTATCTAGACTGCTCCTAATAAGTTATAAAGCAAAAATTTTTTGTAATGTCAAAGAAAGTGAGAGAACTTTAATGCTTAGGGTGGGTTTTTTTATCAGACCAATTTTGAGTTTTCGTATAAGCAATTATGACGAAATTTTCTTCAAATTAGGTTGATATTACATCAAAAGTCGATCAAATACAAGCTGCTTAGAACTTCACAAGAATTGATTTAGAGCATTTTTATTTCCAAATTTCGGACCACAAAAACTTTTGCCCGAACATTGGTTCATTTCTGGCTCCTTTTAGGCAATCAGGAGTTAAGCAAAAAAAACTGCCTGGTCAATTGTTGAGGCTCTTATGTAGACCAATTAAGTTGAGGCTCTTATGTAGATCAATTAAGTTGAGGCTCTTATGTAGACCAATTGAGTTTAAGCATCTTAACTAATACAGTTTGGATCCTTTAAGGCAATTAGGATTGCGCAAAAACTGCCTGGATAAATTTGAGAAAATTATTTCACTTGCTATAGCAAGTGTAATTGTAATCGGGAACTAAATTTTTTTCGCGTAAACAACTTTTCTTACAAAATACGTCTTTCTTTTACTTTCAACTGCAGGCTGCGCTGACATCGCAAGCACTAAATAATCGTAGGAGCTACCAACTGCAGGCATGTATGTGTTAAAAAAAATTCTACCGAACTTATCGAAAAAAAATATGAAAATTTTCGAATTCTTGGCTTTCGTCCTTATATCCGTCGGCTCATTTTCCGTTTTTTTTTCTCAATGCAATTTTTATAATTTTCAGCCTAATTTCCAAGGTTTTTTTTATTTAAACCATTTTTACTATTACTGAAAGTTGTTTTGTAATTCGTAAAAGTCTGAAGTTGAATAATTTCATTCATTTTTTTCTGAAGTTGTTTTTGGCTATTTGGGTTTTACGTTTGGGATTAGCAAGCGTTATCAAACTGGAATATATAATTTCGGGTTAACAATTAGTTTAACAGAATCATTGAATCATTTTACCTTTGGCTCATATGAAATCAAAAGTCAGCAGACGCGATAATTTTGTAGATGCATGCGCCAGTGGTATTGAATCTTCATTGATCAAAATTTCGTCTCCTTCGATCTAATTACAGTAGCTCGCCTGCCTCAATTCGAACAAATTTTATGCGCGGGCTTGCTCACTGCATATGTGCTGTGGATATAAAACTGGTAAGAAAGCGCAGACTAAATGCGCGCAATCTGGCAGTTATGAACCACCAAAATTCACAAAAAAAACATCGGTTTTTTCTATTTTTGGTCATTTAGATCTTGAGTTCGTTCTTAAAATCAGTCAAAATCTATTACTCCTATCATCCAAAATGTCTTGAAGAAAAATTACATAAACCATATATACTCCTCGCTTTCTTCGGAGCGATATTCTTTAACACAATAACACATAATTTATTGGATTAAGCATGCAATAAGCAGCGGTTTTCTATTTAGTAAATCATATTAATCCGGTCAGCAACTATTCTAACGAACTTTTTGGCTGATTATAACAATTTTCACTTACTTGCTAGTATTGACGAGAAAAAAAAGTTCATAATTGTACAGGCCAAAAGCAAAGTAAATTTCATGGCTGCCTAAGATACCAAACCACGTTAACATCTTCGTTACCGCACCAGGTTATGCCGTGAAAGTTATTGTTGTGAAATAAATAATTTCCTGCTGAGACAACTACCGGCAGAGGCAAGACCGTTCGGTTGCTAACGCGTGGTCTTAACGGACATTTTGCGTTAGTTGCATTTTTACAATTCGTTTCTGAAGATTGCGCAAAATAACTTGCGGCTAAATAGATAAATTTCCCAAGTCGTTTTTTTTTCAGCCTAGCGGACGCGTTTGACTAGCTATGAGATCCAATTTGTCTCGCGCACTGGTGGTTCATGGATAATAATCGATTTTAGTAGATTCTCATTGTCAATCTATAAAATTCAAAATAGTTTGATTATAATTGATTAAAAATGGATTATAATCTTAATTATTATCATATGAATAAAATTCATTTTAATCGATTACTATCAATTATATTAGATTTTAATATTTTTTCGTAAATTATTCGGAAAATTTTCAGTATAAACAGCTCATTATATTCAAAATTTAACAGCTGCTTTTGGCCTGTTACACGTTGCATCAAATAAAACTAGGTTTACTTTGGCTTAGAAAATAGTTATCTTGTTTTCAAATTTACGTTTCACAATTTTTTATCTGCCTATATGTGTACACCCCCTCCCCCACTTTTTCATGGTTGAACTTGCGAAATCTGAGGTTGTAGATTCAATGGAGGTAGTGGGTGTTAAGAATCTGTCTTAGTTTAGAGGGAAGTCCCAGTTTTTCTCTATACAAAAAGTTATTGCCTTCGGAAAAGTCAATTTTGGTAATTTTTACGGTTTTTTTGATACTTTTCGACTTTTCTAGAAAACTACCCTTGCAAATCTGAAGTTTTGGGTTCAATCTAAATAATGGGTTGTGAGAAGCTGTTTTGCAGAATCAAATTTGCCCAAAAATTTTACCCAACGGTTTTGGCACTGGGAAACGTCAAGGTTTTAAAAATTTTACCGTTTTTGAAACTTTTTGGCTTTTCCCGAGAACTACCCTCCCAAATCTGAAGTTTTGGGTTCAATCTAAAGAATGGGTTGTGAGAAGTCGTTTTGCAGAATCAAATTTGCCCAAAATTTTTACCCATTGATTATGGAACTGGGAAACGTCAAGGTTTTAAATTTTTTTAACCGTTTTTCTGAAATTTTTTGGCTTTTCCCGAGAAATATCCTCCCCAATCTGAGATTTTGGGTTCAGTCGAATTATTGGGATATATAAAGCTACCCTGTAAAATTGACTCGATAGCTAGCCTAGCACTACTGATATCAAGGGCTTAATCGAAACAACAGGTTGTTGAAAACCTACCTTAATAATTGGCTTCGCCATCAAAAATATGGCCATCAAAAAAACTTTTGACCCCTTCTTCGACTGTCCATAAAAACCGCCCTTTCAAGTCTGGGTGACTCCTCTTTTGTTAGAAATTTTTTTTTTTGTGAAGAGGAGACTCCTTATTTTTTGTAAGAAAAATGTTATGTCCTTAGAAAAATTCCAATTTCTCGAAAATTTTTACTTTTCTAACATAAGTAGAGAAATAACTAAGGTTTTGGGCAAAGTCCGCTTTCGAAACTACTCATTTTATCCGACATCAGTATAGCAAATTCAAAAATATCAATTATGTACGTCCAGCCTTAGCTGGACCCATAGTCCTTTTATCGAGACATGCCAAAGTTTTGGTTAACCTAGTTTTTCAACGTTTTTCATCCTTTTTCGACTACTCTTTTTTTTGTTTGTGTTTGATCGCAAATAATACAAAGCTCCACATCGCCTTTGTGTCTAATTTAGTAACATCATTGGGTAATTTAGTAACATCATAATGACAACATTTTAGACAACGTTTTCCATAATCGATTTTTATCCATGAAATTCCGGTGCGGGGGGCTGCTCGTAGACGACGAAACACAAACAACTAATTCTGCGTATTTAACATGCGGAGGTAACGCACATACTTGGGACAATGGCGTTCGATTTAGGTCCGGCCAGGACCTGCAACTAATTAGCTTTCGTATTATCATGTCCTTATTGTTATCGGATTAGTTAACGCATAGATTTTCTGGCAGAAATCTTATGATTTTTGTTTTTTTTTCTACGAAATTATTAAGTTTTTCCCTATTCATTTTGGAAGCTTATGTTCGGTTATTACATATGATGCTGCATGTAATTTGATGATTTTTGGAAAAAGTTTGCTAGAAACAATTTCCTTTCAAATTATTTTGGTCACTATTTTGTTGCAAGTGGCGGGAAGCCGGGCTGTGCTTGTCTACGAAGATGCAATTAGAGTGAGGTGGATATGAGAAACCTGATACGAGTGTGTTAAAGTTAATACTCACATCCTCCATGAACTCAAGGTTGATTTCGCTTCCGAGCATGCGCCAGGAGCTAAGATCCAGGTAGCATGTCTGGATGTCGTAGGGAAAGTAGCGAACATCCATATTGCAACGAGTAGTCTTCAGCAATGGGATCTGCCACAACACTTTCCCCATCCAATTCACTCTGCAAATGCGTACTATTATTGTTCAAACTGTTCCAAATCAACTTCACTATCAAGAAAGTGAGATTCAGTTGATGACTCACCCCTCTTCCTTACTCATCGAATAGAGTCTGTCTTTCATATGTTTTTCTATGCTGTTATGCGAGACAGTGCTCAACTTATTGATGCTTGTGAGAACTGTGAGTTTCAATTTTATTTTTACTTTGGAGGGTTCTTTCGGCTTCTCGGACGAGTGGTACATGAGGAGAATCATGACGCTCTGAACAACAGATGCGCTCACAGCACAGATTCCTCCGAAGAAGAACTCGGCCATAATGGGGAAGTTGACACTAGCATGGGGAATGTAGCCTCCAATCAGGCATAAATTGAGAACCAGTGCCAGTAAAATGGTAATTGAGAACCCGATTTTTTCGCCACAGTCGTTGGGTAAGTTGAACGAAATGAACGCCATGAGGCATATAAGAACAGTGGGGTACACCATGGTGTACTCGAAGTATTTGGACTGTCGGTGGAAGGCGTACTTGAACTTGAGAATGGGCACTTCGTACCCTTCCCACCCCTGCACCTCTCGGATTTTGTCCACGTAGATTAAATTCCACTCCGGATGACGGAACTTAGCAACCTCTTCTGCTGCTTCTCCAGAATACTGAAATTTATATGTGAATTAGCTCTAGTGTTGGAAATTTTAATGAAGCTTCACAAATTAGAGCAACTTTCAATGAACAGACCTAGCTCAAGCGGTTAACTGGCTTCTTGCTTTCACTAAGTACCATTCCAATTGTAATTAGGTGCTCACAGGTGCAAAATCTAATTTCATATTAAAATTTCTACGGCGAATTTAGTGTGTGATATTCTCCTGTCATTTCTAATTATGATGACAGCTAAAATATAGTTATGTTAAACGAATGATCCGGTTGAATTGGACCAAATTCTCATTTGTTAAACAAAACAAGAGGAATGCTATTTTTTTTCACCGAAGAAACTTAGAGCCCCCATCTAAAATATCTTCTGTCAAATTGTCTAGGATTTGTCACGCTTGCACAAAAACTGCTTAATTTCTTCGCTTTTTTGCTCTAGCAAGCTCAAGCGAGAGTAGTGCTATAGTACGACTATTCTTTTTTTCCAACCTAAGTCGCAAATATTGGTCGCAAATGGCGACTTTTGGGCCACTTTTACGGCATTTTTATAGCATAGGAATTGACATCCGATTAGTAATAACTTAACACAGTTGATGCTTTTTTCATTTATCGAATGAACCGAAAAAAAACTAATAATAAAAACTCGATTTCAGAAATTATCGCACACAATATATCTCGTAATATTTTTGAAAAGCATAAATTATAAACAATTTGGCTTTATGTTTTCAAATTTATTACATGAAAAGTTAGTGTCGATGACTGTTTGTTATATTCTAAATTTTCACGTGCAAAATTGAGTCTATTTAAATTTGGTCACCCTTTCGCTGCATCGCATTGGCCATTTAATAGCATATGTAGCTGCTTTATTTGCGGCTAGTGTTTACAAATTAGCAGGGCACGTTGTTCATATGCGAGGATTGGGGACTGTAAATCTCCTCTTTGTAGGATCGATTCCGCCTCAAATGTTTCATTTTTCAAGTTTTTTAAAAATATTTTTTGTTATTTCACTTTATGGAGATACTCTGTCATTTTTTCGCTAGTGTCTGCGATTTTTTACCCTTGCAGTTAGAAAGGGTGTTTTCACGCTTATTGATCTCCAATTTCGAGATCTCCTTTTTCAGCACGTAGCACGTTTAACAGTGGCTAGCGTTAATGCCTAGAATTAATTTGCTAGTGGTATTGCGTTACTGGATATACCTGTAACAAAAATTTCAGTTGTAAATTTTTAGTTGTTTTAGATTGATTTCGGCTCAATTTTTGTCGGATTATTTGCTGGTTGTTTTTTTTCTAGAAGTTTTATACAATTGATAATTAAATTCAATATCAAGAATATAACAAGGTGAAAGGCTTTTTCACGCTTTTTATACTCGCTAAAACTTGCAAATTGAAAAGAAAAAAACTTTCAAGCGATTTTTGGATTTTTTATTTCTTTTTATGGGGGTACATTTTTGTCATTTATGCTAGTGTTTACGAAGCGCAGCTTTACCTCTGTGTCAAGTTATCCAAAGATTTTTTTACCTTTGCGGTTAGAAAGTGTGCTGCAACCGGGTACTAGATTTTTCTCACATAACTAACTTTGTTCACAGAAATCGCACGTGAAAAGTTACGGGTGTTTTACTTGCACTATATATTCAAATTCAAGGATTATTCAGCGCATCAGACACAGTGGTATTACCCATGGTTGCAGCGACAAAGCTCGGGAATTCTATTCCGGTCGGGACTTTTTTTGCAAATTGGAAGTTTTTTGTTGTTTTAGACTGTCGTCTGTCTCCTTATTTTGCTCGGCTTACTTCCCGTATAAATGAATTTTTTTGAAGGTTCGGCTTCTGCCTGGTATTCCAAAAATTCTTTGTCAGTTTTCCTATGATACAGGTAAGTTTGTCCCAGAATTTTTTGGCTTATTTTGCAATGTTTATATATTTTTTTATGGGAAATGACAAAAGTTTTTTTTTCAATTTTAGAGTTGTCATTTCATATGCTTTTAGTGGTAGTCATTCATTTCTGTATAGCAAGTAGCGCAAAGCTCTGTTTCGCCTCTAAATCTTGACCTTAGTTGCCCAATTTAAGTGGATCAAAAGGGAGGAAAAACTAAATTTATCAGTATGAAAATACTGCACAAGTTTTATAAACAAGTCGCGAGTAACCAGCGAAAAGTTAAGTAGAAGAAACAAGATTGGCAAGTCGAAACTTTCTCCAGAAAGCAGTTAAATGTCTAGACTGATCATAATAATTTATGTTGAATTTTTTTTAAACGTTTTTCGAAGTAAATGACCTTTTTTTGCTCACGGTGTTTTTTATTCAGTCCCATTTCGATTTTTTATTTAATTGACAAATTTTTTTTGCACCGAGTGTTTTTTTATTCAGACCAACCAATTTTGATTTTTTTATTGATGCATTTTTGACGGAAAGGTTGCCCTGAATTGCTCGGATTGATTGTGAAGGTGGTTGATGTGCAAAAATAGTTTGCGACTGAATGAGCATTTCACTGAAGTTATTTGAGACTACGCATATATGGGGTCATCGAATGTACTACCAAAAATTGGCGGGCCAAAAAACTAGTGTGAAAAGCCTGCCTTATTTTGATGAACGAATTGGAATTGAGCGTAACAAGCGAAACAATATAGAAGAAACTGGCTTTGCAATTCAAAGCATTCCCCAAAAAGCAGTTGGTATCTAGACTGCTCCTAATAAGTTATAAAGAAAAATTTTTTTAATGTAAAAGAAAGTGAGAGAACTTTTATGCTTAGGGTGGGTTTTTTTGTCAGACCAATTTTGAGTTTTCGTATAAGCAATTATGACGACATTTTCTTCAAATTAGGTTGATATTACATTAAAAGTCGATCAAATACAAGCTGCTTAAAATTTTACAAGAATTGATTTAGTGCATTTTAATTTCCGAATTTCGGACCACAAAAATTTTTGCCCGCAAATTGGTTCATTTTAAGCTCCTTTTAGGCAATCAGGAGTTAAGCAAAAAAAAAACTGCCTGGTCAATTGTTGAGGCTCTTATGTAGACCAATTAAGTTGAGGCTCTTATGTAGATCATTTAAGTTGAGGCTCTTTTGTAGACCAATTGATTTTAAGCATCATAACTAATACAGTTTGGATCCTTTAAGGCAATTAGGACTGCGCAAAAACTGCCTGGATAAATTTGAGAAAATTATTTCACTTGCTATAGCAATTGTACTTGTAATCGGGAACTAAATATTTTTCGCGTAAACAACTTTTCTTACAAAATACGTCCTGCATTTACTTTCAAGTGCAGGCTGCGCTGACATCGCAAGCACTAAATAATCGTAGGAGCTACCAACTGCAGGCATGTATGTGTTAAAAAAAATTCTACCAAACTTTTTGAAAAAAAAATGAAAATTTTCGGATTTTTGGCTTTTGTCCTTATATCCGTCGGCTCATTCTCCGTTTTTTTTCTAAATGCAATTTTTATCATTTTCAGCCTAATTTCCAAAGTTTTTTTAATTAAACCATTTTTGCTATAACTGAAAATTGTTTTGTAATTCGTAAAAGTCTGAAGTTGAATAATTTCTTTCATTTTTTTCTAAAGTTGTTTTTGGCTATTTGGGTTTTACGCTTGGGATTAGCAAGCATTATCAAACTGGAATATATAATTTCGGGTTAACAATTAGTTTAACAGAATCACTGAATCATTTTATCTTTGGCTCATTTGAAATCAAAAGTCAGACGTTAATTCGCTCTTGTGGCAAAGAGGTTACACACCTGCCTATATCGACAAATTCTTGTCGGCTTAGGTCCCGCAGAAAGGTTCGGTTTCTTTTAAGCTTTTTGAAAGCTCTTTTTAAAGTTTCTAATGTTGCAGGTTTTTTTTTTCAGGAATTTTTGTTCGTTCTTCCAATTTTTATAACTCGCTTTGACAAAAAAAAAAACGTTTTTTTTGTTATGTTTTTTTTCTTCAAATTTTGATTTGTCTATTCATTTGGTGGTAATCATAGTCATATATTTTTGTATCGCAAGTGATGCGAAGCTCTGCTTCGCCTCTTTTAAAAACTGTTTTGACTTGTTTTAATTCGGCGTAGTTATCGTGTTTTGCACATTTTTGTGGGCAAAATTTTTTTTGATGCTTTTTAGGGATTTGGGGAGATGGGTCGTAAAAGCTTAGAAACTGAAAATTTTTTATGACAACAGTTTTGCTTACGGTGTTTGATTCAATTACTGGTTCAGCCCATTTTTCTTTCAAATGGATTGAAAGAAAAGCATTCCCCAACTATTCAAAGCATTTCCCAAAAAGCAGTTGGTATCTAGACTGCTCCTAATAAGTTATAAAGCAAAATTTTTTTGTAATGTCAAAGAAAGTGAGAGAACTTTAATGCTTAGGATGGGTTTTTTTATCAGACCAATTTTGAGTTTTCGTATAAGCAGTTATGACGAATATTTCTTCAAATTAGGTTGATACTACATCAAAAGTCGATCAAATACAAGCTGCTTAGAATTTTACAAGAATTGATTTAGTGCATTTGAATTTCCGAATTTCGGACCGAAAAATTTTGCCCGAAAATTGGTTCATTTTTGCTTCTTTTAGGCAATCAGAAGTTGGGCAAAAAAAACTGCCTGGTCAATTGTTGAGGCTCTTATGTAGACCAATTAAGTTGAGGCTCTTATGTAGACCAATTAAGTTGAGGGTCTTTTGTAGACCAATTATGTTGAGGCTCTTATGTAGACCTATTAGTTTTAAGCATCTTAACTGATACAGTTTGGATCCCTTAAGGCAATTAGGGTTGCGCAAATACTGCCTGGATAAATTTGAGAAAATTGTTTCACTTGCTATAGCAAGTGTACTTGTAATCGGGAACTAAATTTTTTCGCGTAAACAACTTTTCTTACAAAATTCGTCCTGCATTTACTTTCAAGTGCAGGCTGCGCTGACATCGCAAGCACTAAAAAATCGTAGGAGCTATCAACTGCAGGCATGTATGTGTTTAAAAAAATTTTCTACCAAACTTATTGAAAAAAAAATGAAAATTTTCGGATTCTTGGCTTTCGTCCTTATATCCGTCGGCTCATTTTCCGTTTTTTTTCTCAATGCTTTTTTTTTAATAAATTTCAGCCTAATTTCCATGGTTTTTTTTAATTAAACCATTTTTGCTATAACTGAAAGTTGTTTTGTAATTCGTAAAAGTCTGAAGTTGAATAATTTCTTTCATTTTTTTCTTAAGTTGTTTTTGGCTATTTGGGTTTTACGCTTGGGATTAGCAAGCATTATCAAACTGGAATATATAATTTCGGGTTAACAATTAGTTTAACAGAATCACTGAATCATTTTATCTTTGGCTCATTTGAAATCAAAAGTCAGACGTTAATTCGCTCTTGTGGCAAAGAGGTTACACACCTGCCTATATCGACAAATTCTTGTCGGCTTAGGTCCCGCAGAAAGGTTCGGTTTCTTTTAAGCTTTTTGAAAGCTCTGTTTAAAGTTTCTAATGTTGCAGGTTTTTTTTTCAGGAATTTTTGTTCGTTCTTCCAATTTTTATAACTCGCTTTGACAAAAAAAAAGTTTATTTTTAATTTTTATTTTCTTCAAATTTTGATTTGTCTATTCATTTGGTGGTAATCATAGTCATATATTTTTGTATCGCAAGTGATGCGAAGCTCTGCTTCGCCTCTTTTTAAAACTGTTTTGACTTGTATTAATTTGGCGTAGTCATCGTATTTTGCACATTTTTGTGGGCAACATTTTTTTTTGATGCTTTTTAGGGATTTAGGGAGATAGGTCGTGAAAGCTTAGAAGCTAAAAATTTTTTATGACAACAGTTTTGTTTACGGGGTTCGATCCAATTACTGGTTTAGCCCATTTTTCTTTCAAATGGATTGAAAGAAAATTATTTCCCAACTATTCAAAGCATTTCCCAAAAAGCAGTTGGTATCTAGACTGCTCCTAATAAGTTATAAAGCAAAAATTTTTTGTAATGTCAAAGAAAGTGAGAGAACTTTAATGCTTAGGGTGGGTTTTTTTATCAGACCAATTTTGAGTTTTCGTATAAGCAATTATGACGAAATTTTCTTCAAATTAGGTTGATATTACATCAAAAGTCGATCAAATACAAGCTGCTTAGAACTTCACAAGAATTGATTTAGAGCATTTTTATTTCCAAATTTCGGACCACAAAAACTTTTGCCCGAACATTGGTTCATTTCTGGCTCCTTTTAGGCAATCAGGAGTTAAGCAAAAAAAACTGCCTGGTCAATTGTTGAGGCTCTTATGTAGACCAATTAAGTTGAGGCTCTTATGTAGATCAATTAAGTTGAGGCTCTTATGTAGACCAATTGAGTTTAAGCATCTTAACTAATACAGTTTGGATCCTTTAAGGCAATTAGGATTGCGCAAAAACTGCCTGGATAAATTTGAGAAAATTATTTCACTTGCTATAGCAAGTGTAATTGTAATCGGGAACTAAATTTTTTTCGCGTAAACAACTTTTCTTACAAAATACGTCTTTCTTTTACTTTCAACTGCAGGCTGCGCTGACATCGCAAGCACTAAATAATCGTAGGAGCTACCAACTGCAGGCATGTATGTGTTAAAAAAAATTCTACCGAACTTATCGAAAAAAAATATGAAAATTTTCGAATTCTTGGCTTTCGTCCTTATATCCGTCGGCTCATTTTCCGTTTTTTTTTCTCAATGCAATTTTTATAATTTTCAGCCTAATTTCCAAGGTTTTTTTTATTTAAACCATTTTTACTATTACTGAAAGTTGTTTTGTAATTCGTAAAAGTCTGAAGTTGAATAATTTCATTCATTTTTTTCTGAAGTTGTTTTTGGCTATTTGGGTTTTACGTTTGGGATTAGCAAGCGTTATCAAACTGGAATATATAATTTCGGGTTAACAATTAGTTTAACAGAATCATTGAATCATTTTACCTTTGGCTCATATGAAATCAAAAGTCAGCAGACGCGATAATTTTGTAGATGCATGCGCCAGTGGTATTGAATCTTCATTGATCAAAATTTCGTCTCCTTCGATCTAATTACAGTAGCTCGCCTGCCTCAATTCGAACAAATTTTATGCGCGGGCTTGCTCACTGCATATGTGCTGTGGATATAAAACTGGTAAGAAAGCGCAGACTAAATGCGCGCAATCTGGCAGTTATGAACCACCAAAATTCACAAAAAAAACATCGGTTTTTCCTATTTTTGGTCATTTAGATCTTGAGTTCGTTCTTAAAATCAGTCAAAATCTATTACTCCTATCATCCAAAATGTCTTGAAGAAAAATTACATAAACCATATATACTCCTCGCTTTCTTCGGAGCGATATTCTTTAACACAATAACACATAATTTATTGGATTAAGCATGCAATAAGCAGCGGTTTTCTATTTAGTAAATCATATTAATCCGGTCAGCAACTATTCTAACGAACTTTTTGGCTGATTATAACAATTTTCACTTACTTGCTAGTATTGACGAGAAAAAAAAGTTCATAATTGTACAGGCCAAAAGCAAAGTAAATTTCATGGCTGCCTAAGATACCAAACCACGTTAACATCTTCGTTACCGCACCAGGTTATGCCGTGAAAGTTATTGTTGTGAAATAAATAATTTCCTGCTGAGACAACTACCGGCAGAGGCAAGACCGTTCGGTTGCTAACGCGTGGTCTTAACGGACATTTTGCGTTAGTTGCATTTTTACAATTCGTTTCTGAAGATTGCGCAAAATAACTTGCGGCTAAATAGATAAATTTCCCAAGTCGTTTTTTTTTCAGCCTAGCGGACGCGTTTGACTAGCTATGAGATCCAATTTGTCTCGCGCACTGGTGGTTCATGGATAATAATCGATTTTAGTAGATTCTCATTGTCAATCTATAAAATTCAAAATAGTTTGATTATAATTGATTAAAAATGGATTATAATCTTAATTATTATCATATGAATAAAATTCATTTTAATCGATTACTATCAATTATATTAGATTTTAATATTTTTTCGTAAATTATTCGGAAAATTTTCAGTATAAACAGTTCATTATATTCAAAATTTTAACAGCTGCTTTTGGCCTGTTACACGTTGCATCAAATAATACTAGGTTTACTTTGGCTTAGAAAATAGTTATCTTGTTTTCAAATTTACGTTTCACAATTTTTTATCTGCCTATATGTGTACACCCCCTCCCCCACTTTTTCATGGTTGAACTTGCGAAATCTGAGGTTGTAGATTCAATGGAGGTAGTGGGTGTTAAGAATCTGTCTTAGTTTAGAGGGAAGTCCCAGTTTTTCTCTATACAAAAAGTTATTGCCTTCGGAAAAGTCAATTTTGGTAATTTTTACGGTTTTTTTGATACTTTTCGACTTTTCTAGAAAACTACCCTTGCAAATCTGAAGTTTTGGGTTCAATCTAAATAATGGGTTGTGAGAAGCTGTTTTGCAGAATCAAATTTGCCCAAAAATTTTACCCAACGGTTTTGGCACTGGGAAACGTCAAGGTTTTAAAAATTTTACCGTTTTTGAAACTTTTTGGCTTTTCCCGAGAACTACCCTCCCAAATCTGAAGTTTTGGGTTCAATCTAAAGAATGGGTTGTGAGAAGTCGTTTTGCAGAATCAAATTTGCCCAAAATTTTTACCCATTGATTATGGAACTGGGAAACGTCAAGGTTTTAAATTTTTTTAACCGTTTTTCTGAAATTTTTTGGCTTTTCCCGAGAAATATCCTCCCCAATCTGAGATTTTGGGTTCAGTCGAATTATTGGGATATATAAAGCTACCCTGTAAAATTGACTCGATAGCTAGCCTAGCACTACTGATATCAAGGGCTTAATCGAAACAACAGGTTGTTGAAAACCTACCTTAATAATTGGCTTCGCCATCAAAAATATGGCCATCAAAAAAACTTTTGACCCCTTCTTCGACTGTCCATAAAAACCGCCCTTTCAAGTCTGGGTGACTCCTCTTTTGTTAGAAATTTTTTTTTTTTGTGAAGAGGAGACTCCTTATTTTTTGTAAGAAAAATGTTATGTCCTTAGAAAAATTCCAATTTCTCGAAAATTTTTACTTTTCTAACATAAGTAGAGAAATAACTAAGGTTTTGGGCAAAGTCCGCTTTCGAAACTACTCATTTTATCCGACATCAGTATAGCAAATTCAAAAATATCAATTATGTACGTCCAGCCTTAGCTGGACCCATAGTCCTTTTATCGAGACATGCCAAAGTTTTGGTTAACCTAGTTTTTCAACGTTTTTCATCCTTTTTCGACTACTCTTTTTTTTGTTTGTGTTTGATCGCAAATAATACAAAGCTCCACATCGCCTTTGTGTCTAATTTAGTAACATCATTGGGTAATTTAGTAACATCATAATGACAACATTTTAGACAACGTTTTCCATAATCGATTTTTATCCATGAAATTCCGGTGCGGGGGGCTGCTCGTAGACGACGAAACACAAACAACTAATTCTGCGTATTTAACATGCGGAGGTAACGCACATACTTGGGACAATGGCGTTCGATTTAGGTCCGGCCAGGACCTGCAACTAATTAGCTTTCGTATTATCATGTCCTTATTGTTATCGGATTAGTTAACGCATAGATTTTCTGGCAGAAATCTTATGATTTTTGTTTTTTTTTTCTACGAAATTATTAAGTTTTTCCCTATTCATTTTGGAAGCTTATGTTCGGTTATTACATATGATGCTGCATGTAATTTGATGATTTTTGGAAAAAGTTTGCTAGAAACAATTTCCTTTCAAATTATTTTGGTCACTATTTTGTTGCAAGTGGCGGGAAGCCGGGCTGTGCTTGTCTACGAAGATGCAATTAGAGTGAGGTGGATATGAGAAACCTGATACGAGTGTGTTAAAGTTAATACTCACATCCTCCATGAACTCAAGGTTGATTTCGCTTCCGAGCATGCGCCAGGAGCTAAGATCCAGGTAGCATGTCTGGATGTCGTAGGGAAAGTAGCGAACATCCATATTGCAACGAGTAGTCTTCAGCAATGGGATCTGCCACAACACTTTCCCCATCCAATTCACTCTGCAAATGCGTACTATGATTGTTCAAACTGTTCCAAATCAACTTCACTATCAAGAAAGTGAGATTCAGTTGATGACTCACCCCTCTTCCTTACTCATCGAATAGAGTCAAAAAAAAAATTCGTAAGGCCCATTCACTGTCGAGAAGAGATTATCAATAACTAGGAGTTAGTAGAGCGCGCTAAATTTTGTCCAATTTTCTTTGGGTCAGAGAGTTTGCCAGCTTTTTTTTCGATCAATGAAATAATGTTTTTCCATTAGTTGCGGTTCCGTTTTAATTTTTAGACTCTAATACCACCCTCTGGAATTTAACATGGAATTTTTTTTCTGGAGCGATCCAATTCCTTTTCATTCAACTTGCTTTTGTTTCATTAAAACTGGTCAGTTGATACTTGATCCCTTTTCAAGTCTATAATTTGATAGCTCATTAGCTATAAGGCACTACCAGTTTTGAAATGTAGGAGTGAGCTCATTTTCAGAAAGTGCTGCAGAAAATTTTAGTGGCCTCTATTTTCAGGAGGCCTCATTTCAAAATGAGAATGTCAAATGATTTGAATCCCATGAAGATGTTTGTGCGTAACTGCAACCGTCTGATGGAAATGAATGGGACAGGAATCTTAGAAGCCACTGACATCTAATTTAGCATCCCTTTTCTCAACAATTATATGAACAATTAGAAAATTTTTAGGTCATGTTCTGCTTTAGATCAGGTGTTTTAGATCATGTGTATCAATCACTATGCAAAGATCATGTGTATCTATCACTCAGTGCTCAATGTCAGGGCTTCAGAAAGGGCTCTTCTCCACTTTCCGCATTTCAAATTTTCAATTTCATACTTATTTCACGTGATTTTGCGGCTATATGCGTCATGCTACATGCGAATATACGGTATGAAGAATGTACAGCTAATCTTTTCACAATAATTATTTTGTTCACCATGCAAAGTTTCATTAGTTATGACTACGCAGAATAAGTTTTTCAAAATTCAAGTGTGGGGGTGAAAATGGAAAAAGCCCCCGAAAATTTCAGTAGCTTCGATTTTTGCAGGTCTTATTTCAAACTGAAATTCAATAAATTTCATCAAAAGAGTTGCACTTTCATTTTTCACACTTTTTCTGTTCTTTTTTTACCTTGTTATGGGCTTAATCATAAATAAAAAAGCAATGTCCTGTACATGGTGGATATTTGGCTGTGTACAAAAAATGGCCTGATTTTTTTCCCCAGTACCTCCTTGATTTTTTCTGAAATTCAATATTTGACAGTCTTCTGAAAATGATTTTTCATGTGATAAACTGCATTAAAATGTGCCAGCGTGAACATTTCTTACATGCAAATTGCCGTATGAACAGCTTTTGAACTTTTTTTTGTAACTTTACGATGGGGTGCAAAACTGGTAAAGACCTCAAAAGATGAGTTCTGTCGGGTCAGCAAATTAGAAGCAGAGTAACAAGTTATTCCACAGACAAATACACTCGAGAGATTTATAATATTATAGATTTTCCCTTGTTATCTGTTTACTCTCATCTATTTAAGCAACTATAACCCTTAATTGTTAAAGAGGTTTTGATCTCTACACCTGCGAAAGTCTAGTTTATCGGGAACTAGACTTTTTCCCGTAAACAAATTTTCTTACAAATTTTCATTTTGCTTTGTTATGGAATCTTCATAACTCTCAGGTTCCTTTGCGCTTGTCATAGACGTAACTCAGTCACCTTTGCACACATATTTTAGGGATTCGAATCCCGGCTGGACCTTGTTTTTTTTCCAGTATTTATGCAATTGAAAAAAAATCCGGTAAAAATTGTTTTGTCGGGCTTTCGTTTATCTGCTCAAGTATTGTCGGCTTAGTTGGCACATCACGTTTTTCTTGTGCTGTAATTAAGTATCATAGTTGTTCCAAGTGTTGTTAATTGTATTTTCATGGAGGACTTGAAAATTTTTGAAGTTTTTTTTTAATGTTTTTTTTTCGGCTGAGCTGTGTCTGCTCAAAGATTGTGGGCTTTGTTTCCGCTTGATAAGTGTTGTTCCGTTGCTTCCGCTTCAAAAGTATTGTCCCGTCAGATGTTTGCCTTGAATTCCTGTTTGTTAAAAACAGGTTTCATGAAAGTCTATGGGATTGGGTTTTTTATTGTTTCTTTTTTGAGACGCTTTGGAAATTTTTTTTCACATTACGAGGCCAAACTGTGCATTTTGTGCATTGTAAGCGGATTCCGCAACAAGGACGCTCCCTTTATTCTTCTTTTGTTCTTTACTGTCCTTTGATCGTTCCGACAAATTTTTCACATTTTAAAGACTTGTCTCTGGAATCCAGGAACATAAAGACACAAAATTGTGCTCCTATCCAGTGCACAGTTTGGCCTCGTAATGCACTTCAAAAATTTGTTTTTCTCGAAAAATTTTACACTGATTTGCAGGGATATCAATGCAAAGATCGCCTACTCCCCTCTGTCCCTGTATACTGTCCTAGTCTCTTTTTACTTTACCCCTCTATCTAAAGCCTTCGACAAAGTCTGTGGGGGTAATATTACGCCCCTATTTTTAATTTTTTGTTTATTTTTGTCGAAAACGACCCCACCCCAAATCTGAGATTTTGGTTTTTATGAATAAAACAGATTGGAAAAGCTTTAGTGATTTAGCGGCCACTCACAAATTTTTTACACAAAAATTTATCGCCCTCGGTAAAATCAAATTTTTGATTTTTTGAACGTTTTTTGATACTTTTCGATTTTTCTCAAACTACTTTTGCTAGTCTGAGACTTTCGATTCAATCTAATTGTGAGAAATGGTTTTGCAGAAGCGAGGTTATGGCACTCGGAAATGAAAAATTTTGAAAAGTTTCCTATTTTTTTAATTGAAATTTGAAGTTTTATCAAAATTTACCCTCTCGTATCTGAGATTTTGAGTTCAATTCAAAAAAACAGGTCGTGGGAAGCTTCTTTGCTTACTCTGTTACGTCCAATTTTTTCAACACAAAAGTTATGGCCCTCGAAAATCAAACTTTTTTGGATTTTCTCGATAACTGCCATTCCCAATCTGATTTTCTGGGTACAATCGAAATTACTGTTTGCATCGACAGTTTTTGGATTTTTCTCGATAACTAATCTTTCACATCTGTTCTTATAATTTTATGAGAAACAACAGGTTTGTTTTGTATTGCAAGTGGTGCGATACAAAGCAAACATATTGCCTCTGTGTTCAATTGAAAATCTCTTAGTTTTTCTGTTTACATGAGGTCGGAATGTGCTAATTAATGAGCTTCTGTTTCCATTGTAGGTCATTCGATTAAGAACATTAAAATGAATTGGTTTTCTTAGAAACGGTTGATTGAGTCATTAGTTTTCCATAAGGATGTTGCGCATAAAAATGGGAGTCCGACTACTATTTTAGTTCAGATCCTTATGTGTTAGTGGAGTTCTTGTAACGTTGATAATTTTAACCTCAAATGACGGATTCAAAGACTTTGTGCATTAACTGTGAACAGTGGACGCCTCCTTATTTACTACTCACTTGCAGCCCATGTTCCAAAAAGAAGAAAGTGAAACAAGTATTCTGTGAGAAATGTGTATTGAATCACGCACAGCAGGGACACAAAATCAAAGACTGGAAAGGAAACAAGGTGGAAAAAGACACTTTGTGTCTTGCAGACACAAGTGTAACAGGGCATTCAGCAGAGTCTACGCCGCATAAATTAGTATCTAAACAGGTTGTCAACGGTCAATTAAACTTCCGAACCTTGAATACAGTGACCGACTTTTTCGGAGAGAATTACCAAGTTAGAGTCACTGGTGGCGATTCAGTCGAGGTGCGACGTTTTTCAGTTCTGGAACCCGACGCAGAAAGATTAATAGAATAGGTAGCATTGAAGGCGCAAGTTGTGTGCAAAGGATTATGGGATCATGCAATAGGGACTTCAACGCAGTTGCTTTGACCTGGAACAAGACTGCGTTTTTGGTTAACAATCGAGACAAAGTGGTCCGTCCTCTAGACTACCCTGTTATGCACAATGATGTACTGCATGTATACTCAGTAGAATGGACGAAGTATGATTGGTGTTATTGGGATGACGAAAAAAAGCAAGTCGTGTTCAGTCAAAATTTAGACTACAAGATTCCCTTTTCGTCTAAACCATCAATTAAAATGTCTTCGGTTAATTGGCTGATGTGCTTAATTGACCAATCGTCAAACGATATATACAATTTTGATCTTCTGGAGAACAAGCACGAGTGCATTCAACTGGCAGTTCACAAAGTGGAAAACATTGACTGTGTTTTAAACTTAAGGATAGATTTGTTTGTTATGCGGTCTCTTCAAGATAGGAGTTTGACTGTTTTGAGAAATAAAGAGAACGGATGGACTGTCTCTAAAATCGAGCATTGGGAAGATGACACTCGTGTCATGTCAAATTTAGTCTTAGGATCTGGGATGAAATTCTTGCCAGCCGCGTATCTTAAAGATGCGAAGCAAAGGAAGAAAGAGAAAAAGAAACACCTGATAGACCAAAAAATGAACGTTTTCCTCGTCAGACTTTAAAGTCTACTTACTGAATCAAAAATTATTTGAAATAAAATCTATCCTAAATGGAAAATATTACACATGCGCAGAGATTTATTTTAATAGACATAAAATTGGGTTTAGGTAAGTGTTGTAATTTGTAAGGCTCTTCTTGCAGACTGCTTATCTTTTACTTGTAGAATTAGTACTCCTAATCCTCTTTTTCAACCGGAGAAATAAACATGAAGTAGTAAGTGTCAATTGTTGAAGAGTCTAGTAAAGTCGCTGTTACTGCGCCTTCAAATGCTTTTGCAGTCTATTTTTTTTTTATGTTTCTCCGCTTGCGGTTGTCGTGGGCTCAATTATGTACAAAGATGTAATTATGTTCTCAGAAGGTAGTTTAAATGAAATATGCATTTTTTGCTGAACTCTTCTTGTCGTTTTTTCTTGTATTAGTAGTTAATCATAATAATTTTAATCAGAATCAAAGCAAGTCCGTCTTATTTAAAAAAAAATTTCGACAGGTTTTCTGGTGAAATTACTACGAAAGAAGTACGTTTCCTATTTCTAACAAAGAGTGCGTTTCCTATTTCTTACATTATTCTCTGTCAGAAGCAGTAAAACGTTAGGTTGTAAAAATACAAGTGAGCCAAACTTGGGATGAACTTTTTACGTGGAATTTATTACCTGACTGGCAGTGCAGTGATCTCCTTGAGGTGTTCGAAGTTGTCCACTGAGTTGATGAACATGACGTCAGGGATCCAGATGTCATTTGGGTTCAGCATGGTGTATCTGCCCCCGTATTTGTCGTAGTCCCACTGGAGTCCATCATCGACCCACTGCTGCCACAGACAGATCGAAAACTGCACCTGAAAACAGGTTGCTGCCCAATTAGCACAACGTGTTCTAACAATATTCTTTAAATAGCTACTTAAACAGTTAAAAAGTTTAAATAAATAAGTTTTTCAATTTTTCTGAATGTTTGTTTTGATCCCTTAAGTGCAAAATTGAACGATACTTTTTGCTTTCAGCTAGCTTTTCCCAATAGATACAAAGTCAAGTAGGGGGTGTCCCTTATGACGGAGGGACCGAATGGTGGAAAACTAATTTAAGCCAATCAGAATTGAGTGCTCAAAAAAATTCAAACTAAGTTATTGAATCTAGACCAAAGTTAAAATTGACCGATTACAAATTTGACGAATTTAAATTTTGTCAGATCTAGGATGCATTGGAAAATACTATTTACTTGAAAGATTCCGATTATTGAAAAAAAAACTTTTTTTTTCGATATCTGCACGAATTATTCACCAAAGCTTTGCTGTACTGCTAAAATTTATTTTCTTAGTTTGACTTCGATTTTGTGACAAAAAACATTGAGCAAATAGGAACGTCTAACGGTTCTGATTGATTGAAAAGTTTCGATCATTCGGTTCATCCATTATAGAAATAGCCCCAAGCCAAGTGCAACACACCACTTATCGAGGATAATCCCGAAAAAAGGCTTAAGTGTAAAGTAGACAAAACATTTCTGATCCCACTACGGGTCACGTTACTTACCTGTGATGACTTGACATCGACGTTGACCAACTGCTTTATTCGAATGTCGAAGTAGATATTCACTGTCTGGCTCTGGTTTAGCCTTGGTCGGACGACCTTCGTGTAGTTGCCCAGTAGCTCTTGTACGAGTCTTTGTGCGCGAATTTGAGGCGAAGGAGTTGTAGACCGGGAGGCGTCGCTCTCACTCCTCCTGGTTCTCCTTTCATTGTCTCCGTTGCTTGTGCGATTCCTGGATACTGAGTTTTGCTTGCCCCGCTTGCGAACTTTGCATTCGACGAAACTACTGAAGAGCGCAATCAATAACAATGAACAAATACAAAAATCGAAAGAAGGTTTCATATTTTAAATATATTTGCGCTCTTATCTTCAAAATATTCAATAAAAAATAGACATATTTGAAATTGCTAGCTCTAAAGAAAAACACTAATGAATTTTAAGTATACAGCAAATAGAACTTCCGACTCAAATAGAAGTTTTCACTCTAATTAGAAAGTTTCTACTCTAAAAGTTGAATTGAGGGCAGAATTTAGACCCAAAATGACAGCCAGTTATAAATTAGGCAATGAAGCGGGTGCAATATATCAGTCCTCGAAATTTGTTTCTTCACTAGCTGCGATAGATTGATTTTCCTAGGTAGAATTGGAAGCCAAAACATTTTGTGCATGGTATGTTTACTAGCCGCTGAATACAACTGGAAAAATTTATTCCGAACAACAGTAGTATAAAGAGTAAGTTGTTTGACCAGAAAACTTCAAGCCAATACGGAATTCAAAGGAGACGTTTTCTCGAGCCCAGTTTTGTTTTATTGAATTGCATATTTCTGTTTGCTGGCCGCACGGGATTGTTTGTGTGCTTAAATTGTCCTCAATTGCACGTTAATATGAGCCATTAAGTGACCGTTTCTTATTTGAAGAAATATGGTTTTGCTTTTAGCTTCCTTGTTCTGTCCTCTGATTTCGGGAGAAAAAACGAAGGGTACATATTGCTAATTACTGCAATAGGAGATACCTTCATCGAGTTCTTTATAAGGGTTAGTTGAGAGCGGCATCGGATTCTTGGCCTTGAGTAGCTTTTAACATCGCCCTGTTTGCTTCGACTACTGCCGACCTCATGTTTAAGTTAGTTCCAAAAACTCAATATGGACACAATATTATCCTGTGGCTGAGCAAGTTCAGGAAGTTTCTTTATTGGGTTTATTGTAATAAACTATAATAAGTAACTTTCACTCCATTAACTAGTGCGAGAAGGAAAAACAGCAGACCAGTTTCGTGTGGCGATAGTCCATTGCAATAGTTATCATTGGTAGCATTTAAAAAAGCGACAATTCGACGTAGAGCAACTTACCATAATAGATTGAATTGCAATGAATCCTGATGTAATTGACAATTGGAAAGGCATTATTATCATAAAGTATTTGCCATACAAACGCGCTTTGTTTCAGAGAAGCGTTCAACTTGATATTAAGGGTTTATAGTTTTAGACAAGACCGCTCGTGCATCAGGGCAAACCCCTGAATGTTTCGACTGTACCTTAATTCATATCGAATAGTTTTGGGAAACGAAAATTTTGAAAACCTTTAAATTTTGGACAATATCAAAGTGTGAAAATTTAAGTCGTACTGATAGCCTCAATTCAATTTGTAACGACTTTGCTGTGCAGGATAGATCGCCACTCATCAATAATTTGCATTACGCTCTCAGCATCATGAATAAACTCTTCGAAGCGCACATAATTTAATCCAGAACATGGCCACTTATCCAAATTTTAAACCCCCAGAAGTTCAACAAAAATTATCGAAGGTGAAATATCTTTTTATTTTGAACTGAAGAAATAGATATCTTCAATGGGGTATCAAAATTTTTTTGATGAAAACTATCATTTCAAATGGCGAAAATTGACTGACTAAAAAACCCACCGAGCAGAAATATACCGTGTTCTTCGAAAGTCAAAACAATAGGGAAATATTGTTAACTCCTTTGCAAGTGACAATACACCTACGGCGAAATGTCAACTGCATTCTTATTTCAGGTCCACATAAGCATCACTCAGTTTTGAGCAAAACTATTGCGCGTGAAAACTCTTGGTTCAAATTATGTCCCTCTCTCCTTGTCTTAGTTATCTTAATCTTTAAAGGAAAAGAGATAGACAATCATGATTAGGACTTAAATTAATTAGTCGGGACAAAGATCTTACGAGCGGAGATCAGTTTTTTTATGTAGAAAATGCTTTTATCCGGGGGTTGGCCATTCCTTACAAGCTATGATTTGTTAAAAGTTTCAAGTTTATTTTTCGTACCAGGTCAAAAAGTCCAGGAATTCATGTCATTTTATAATAAGGCAGTCTCACGTAATTGGCGATGCTGAAGTAAACAGCTTCATTTAGAGCTATTTTCCGAACTCAGTAAGTTTATATGTTCAATGGGGTATAAAAAATATTGTTGAAACTTTCAATCGGTGAAAATTCACTGAATAAAAAAAACACACCGAGCATGAATTTTACTTTTTCTTCGAAAGTCGAAACAAAAACAAAAAATTGTTAATTTCCTCGCAAATGACGATAGACATACGGCAAATTCTCAACTGAACTCTAGCTTCAGGTCCACAAAAGCAGAACACAATTTGAAAACTATTACGTGGGAAAATTCGTGGCTCAATTTTTGGCCTTGTTTCAATGTCTTAAATATAATAATCTATAAAGGAGAGATGAACAATCATGATTAAGACTTAATTCAATTAGTCAGAACAAAGTTCTTACGAGCGGAGATTTTGAACAAATTAGAAACTTTTAAGACGTAGAAAAAAGTAATTTATCCGGGCTATTACGGGTTGGCTTAACCTTACGAGCTATGATTAGTTATAAATTTCTAGTTTGTTTTCGTACCAGGTCAAAATGTCAAGGAACTTATGTCATTTTATAAAAAAAAAACAGTCTGAAATATTTGGCGATAGTTGCCTACCAGGTCAAAATGTTTAGGAATTCATATATTTTCATATTAAAGCAGTCTCAAGTATTTGGCTACGGTGGATATATTCAATGGGGTATAAAAATATTTTGTTGAAAACTTTTAAACGGCTAAAATTGACTGAATAAAAACACCAGACATTTTATAAAACTTCCTTTTTCTTCAAAAGTCGGAACAAAAAGGAAATTTTAAAAACTTTCATCTATTCTCGGAATGGGATAAGCATCCTTCACCGTGACGGAATTCAGATATCGAAAGTCACAACAGAATCTCAATTGGTCTCCTATCTTTTTGGCCATCACTACTCCACACGCCCACGATCCAATCATGTCATACTCTAGTAAAGTTTCAATTTCTTTTCTACATGCATCCGATTTGTGTGGGGTCATGTGTCTGTGTGGTATCGCCGACTCTTCTAGTTCTAGTTTGTGCTCAATAAAATTACAGCACGCCTGGGCATCTTTCTCTTCGGTTACTGCCTTCACACATTTCGCCAACAAGTCAATACTTATCACGTCCTTGTACTGCAAGTCATTCTCTGCCTGTCTATTCCTAGTATTTTGCGCAGCCGCACTCTCTAAATTGTGTTTTGGGTGACTCTGATTTTTCACTGTTTCCTAAAACAGGGGACAACTCACTCTGAAGTGACCTTCTTGATTACAAAAGAAGCATCTCACGCCAATCTTGATGATCAAGCCACTATAGAGCTCATGTTCTTCAATCTGATTCTTGTCATCTTCATCATCTTCATCTGGTTTTTAACATACGCTTTTCATTCGTTGTTTTTAGGAGGTGCAATCCGCTACGTGATGGTCTGCCAATCCACAATTCGCTCTTGACCTTTGCTTTTCTATGTCGTCTTTCTGCTTGTACCACGTCGACCTTTATTTTTGGCTTCCCCCTTGCGGAGTTCGACCTTCTGAAAATGGATAATTCTTCGTTTTCGTTAACATGTACTCTCTAGATTTCTGTCTCATCTCTTCTGGGTTTGGTGCGTTATTTTTGGATAGCTTATAGTATGTCGCCAACATTGTTTTTATGTCGTCAGTTTTCATCCCATCGAAGAATTTTTAAGCAATGCTAAATTTCCTCCTGTTGGCTGATTCATCCGGACCACTTATTCTTCTCGAGCTCTCTAGGTTGTCCAGAACTCGATCTATCGACTCGTCATCTCTCTGTCTTCTTTTTTCAAATCTCATCATGGCTTGATGCCCCCTTCATTCCGGATCCGAAACGATTCAACAGATTCTGGAAAATCTTGTCAGCAGTGTCACGTTCTTATTCCCTCTTGGCTACCACGCTCTTCTTCACTGCAGTGCCCTCCAGGTTGCTTAGTATCGCTGTGCAGGTCTGTATTTCAACATTCAAGTTATCTTGCTCTAGGTGTAGTCTCATTACCTCAACCTTGGTATGTATGCGATTCGTCTTTAAACTCATTTGTTTTCTTGAAGGTCTTTCTCGATTTTCCTCCTCCTCTGTCGCTCGACTCCGTGTTCCTCTTGGCAAATGCTTCTAATGTCCTATACATTATTTCCCAAGTGTTTGCCCATGTCATGACATCCGGTTTTATACTGGTATGTGGTCCGAATCGGTTGGTCTCCTTGTTGAGTTTAACACTCCTCCCTTTGTAGCCGTTTCTGTCATCCCTGACCCTATGCTGTTGAGCATCTGAGGTAATGGTGTAGATTCTTGCATCTTGCGTTGGGGTTCCACAAAGTCCACCCTTGCACCTGGTTGCTTCTTCGATTTTTCTGATGCCGTTTTCTCTTGAGTGATAGAATTTCTCAAGAGCGCATCCAACATGGACTGTTTGGCACAGGAGCTCTCGGCTTGGTCTCTGCTCATGGTGTCCATTCTCGTCTCTAGATACCATAATTTGTCGTTTACGGTTTCATACCGCTTTTTCTTTTCCTCCATATGCATCATGATATACTTTTCCCTTTCCTTGTCAGTCGTCTCCACTCTTTCAGCCATCTATTGTAGCTTCTCTTCAGCTGCCCTCGCTTGGTTGAAGTAGTTGTCAAGGTTCTCATTTTTATTATGTTGGACCATTTCCTCATTTCCTCATTTCCTGACAGTCCTCCTCGCTGGACTTGAGTTTTTTTTCTCGGTTCCAACTTTAGCATCAAGTCCTCCAACTCAACTAATGGTGTTTTCGATTCTGCTAGATGCCTTTCTGAGTGACCCGCCGTTCTCTCTGTGACCTGTTCCTCCCCTTGGCCAGCCTCCGTTGCTATCGCGGAAACCGTTCCAAAGGTCTTGCTCTTGTCGATTCTGTTATCACCTCTTCCTCATCCCTCGTTTTCATCTCCACCACCGCTGCGGTTCTCTCCGTGAAGCTTTTCCTTTTTGTTTGCGAATCGTCTTTTAATGTTTCCGGTGTGTTGCCAGTGACTTCGTTTCCATTGTTTATTGGTGAGAACTCAATTGTCTTTGTTTCTTGTTCATTTGCATTCGGCATCGGTGTCGTTTCCGTTGTCTTTCTTCCAACTTCATCTATGCTCTGTTCTGGCGTCTCAAGATCAACTTCCGTGATGGGCAAACTCCTTTGTCTTGTGAGCTTTTCTTCAGTCGTCTACTCTTTGTTGTTTCTGGTGTTGACCATATTAACTGAAACCTTTTTCTTCATTATTCTCGATTTTGTTGTTGATAGTGTTTGCCTCTGTTGTCTTGATGGGTGATTTTCATTTTGTACGACTCCGCTTTTTTCCGTTAGCCAAAATCTTGTTTTTTCATGATCTTTATTTACAGTTTTTGTATGTACAACTCTGTCTATTTGCAGGTGTTAATGTAAAATTGTCGAGAAAACGTGAAAGAAAACCTACAATTCTCTTAGTTTTTTAAACCTTTTAAAACATTTCCAGTATAATATATTTTTAACAGTCCGATTTTAAGCTTAATTTTCCTAGTGTTTTATCTGGTTACCAAGGAGCTATCTATGACTCTTGATCCCTATTCCACAGGTATTGTTACTCTATCCACCTTCTCTAGACTAAATGTTGGGACACTTAATTTACCATTCCAGGACTAAGTGTTGGGACACTCAAATTACTATACAAGGACTCAAGAGCTGGGACCCTTAATTTACTATCACAGGACTCGGGTGTTGGGACCCTTAGTTTACTATCCCAGGCCTCAAGTGTTGGGACCCTTAATTTACTATCCCAGGACTTAAGTGATGGACACTTATTTTCTTATCCCAGGACTCAAGTGTTGGGACTCGTAATTTACTATCCCAGGACCTAAGTGTGGGACACATAACTTACTATCCCAGGTTTCAAGTGTTGGGCCCCTAATTTACTGTCCCATGACTCAAGTGTTGGGACACTTAATTCACTATCCCAGGACTCAAGTGTTGGGACCCTCATTTCACTATCCCACGGTTGCTTCAGGAACCCGTGTGAAATACTCCGACTCTCAAAACTCAAGTTTTGGGACACTTAGTTTGCTATCCAAGTACTGCCTCGGGAACTCAAGTTGCACTCCACTGCTGGGACACTTTTTTATCCTAGAACTGCCTCAGGAGCTCATGTAAAATGTCCCCAATCCCAAATTTCACTAAAAAAATTTTCGAGTTACTTTAAAGTGTCCTGTTTGTTCCCCAGTCAACTGCGATGTAAAACTCAGTTAATTCTTTTGCCCCCGGTTTTTGTTGAATTTGTACCAACTTTTTTTTCGAAAATCTGATGTAAAAAATATAATACAAAAACACAAATTCTATAATTCAAAATCGACGATGCCGTCTCCCAAAATATTTGTCTGGTACCTGATTGTCACACGTTGTTTTTCCTCCTTTAACGTTGTTTTGGGGTGTTTACCTTCCAGGTTTCCGAAAATTGTCTAATTCCGATCCCCCCGCCCGACTCGGCCAGGTCACCTACCTTATTTCAATTTTACTATCGGGTACCGACGCGTTCCAGCTTTTGTTTTGAGTCCTTATCCTGATTAATCGAGACTCTAGATGTTGATTGTATAGTTACTGTAAAAAGACCCCCTCTTTATAATTACAAACCACCAACCTCTATCTTAACCAAACCCACTTCTAACCTCCCCCTATCTAGCACCCCACTTAAACCGAAAACTATCCTCAGCGCGATGTGTGCTGAACCTCTCAAGAGAAAATCCGTACAATTTTTTTCCAAGCTCTGCTCAAGTGAATCCGTTTTCTCAAAACTGCGGGGTAGCCGCTTATTCACTTTTGTACTTATTTCCATATGGATTTTAACGATACACGTTTGATCCAACAGCACACCCTGTTGATCATTCTAGGTGTCCTACTGCTCTGGTCACACTACTGGCAGTCTCTTCCCGGTATTGTCCTCTCTTGACTCCCAGAACTCAGTCCTGCAAACCACTTTCGTATCCGTCTGGTCACCTCTTCCAGTGAAGTCTCCCAGGGGTACTCCAAGATTGCAAGGCTATCTGAAAACCCTTTCAACGCCCCGTAATCGCACAGCTGCTGATAACTCGCTGTTTGCATCAAAACTATATTCTTATTGTAGAACAGTATGAGTATACTAATATTTAGAATCAAGACCTGATCCACCTAATCTGGAAATCAAAAAATCACTGTCCTTTCAAAACTTTTTTACGGTTTTTTCTTCCTCTTTCTATTCTTTTTTCAATTTTTGTTTCGCTATTTGTCTCTTACCTGTTTTTGTTCCCTTGTGGCCCCCATACTCGGTTAGCTAGGCCTCGTATCCGAATGCGCGCCGAGAAGTTTTCACAAGTTTACTCAAAAAGCTACCACGTTACAACCAGAAGGTGGATACATTCCAATTGAACCGTACCACCGATACTCTAGAACGGGCATGTAGCCCGGAGCTGCGTCAATTGGGTCCAATCCCATAGTCTTGAAGTCGTAAAACAACCAGGAGCGCCATAAAAATACTATGCAACAGTCGTCTACTTAAGTCACATATGAGGTTAAGAAAAACAGGCCCTTTAACCATTGGCTTAGGGGTCAGGGACACTATCTCTTGTGCTTTTATACCTCATTCAGTCGGAGCTAATTTGGTTCGCTTAAAACATGAAATTACAAAATTGCGTTACAGCTTAAAGGTCACTACCAAAACACCCATCTCTAGAAATAAGAGTGCCCCATGACTAGGTCTCTTAATACCTAAAACACGCAAACGCCCTTAAAAACAGCGTTGGAAGCTCTAGCATACCATTACTTTTTTATTAGACATTGGACCTTTGATCCATTTCAAATGGATTAACCTGAAACTCGCCTTATCTCAACATAATCATTAAACTGAACTCGAAAAATTAAATTAGGTACTCACATAGTGACGCGACTCTAGAATTAGGTAAATAAAATAAGTAAAGCAACTCTAGAAGTTTTTTTTGTAACAAGCAAAATTAAATCAACAAGCTTAGTCTTCACTCGTCAGCCTGCCCAATAAAGTTTCTCTCTCGCCCACTGGTGATAGTACCGTAAGACTTCGCGTTGCTCTCTATCAGGAACAAGACAGCTCTACTCGAGTTGATGATTGCAGTGAAATTGCGAATGGCAATTTTACACTCGACTAATTTTTATCAAGTTTTCCACAAATCTGATTTTTCGGTTCTGATTTAATAATTCAGTTGCCGCGAGAAACTTGAAAATGACATGGTCGATTCGATCTTTTCAAAAATTATTTTCCCCAAAATCAAGATTAAACTTGTGAGATTCGACCAGAACTGACAAAAAGACAGTTTTGGATGGTTAGCCGCTAACCCAGAGAATTGGCAGTTTTAGAGGACTAGCAGTGTCATTTGGACGATAAGACGAATCATGAAGGCCGGAAGATTCTGGAAATTCTAATTTTAAAAAAATCGATTTGTGACGTTACACTTCCGAGAAACGTTGAAAACGGCCTTTTTAGAAGAAATTCAATTAGAAAACAACAACAACAATAGTTGCGAGAGAAACAACGACGGGAAATAGAAAAAACGACAGAGTGTTAGCAAAGAACTATCCGAATTGTAACGAGTGTGTCGCTACAATTGTTAAAGGCCATTCACGCCAACGGTTAAGGGTGGTGGAGTCGTGAATTCAGCCTTCCGGAGAGGAAATTAGGGTGTTATTTTCTCGGGTTCAGGAATCCGGAGGGGTCTTGAGGCTTGAACTTAAACTATTTTACACGAACTTTTAGCTTTCTGGTCATGCCCTGAATTGAATTTAATTAACATCTGGATTCATTTTCTAATAATGAGAAGCTAGGAGTTGAGGGAAAGGGTTGATCCATCTTCGATGGAGATGATGATTTTTATCTACTGAACAAAAACAATAGTAATATAATAAGTAGTAGTAGCCCTGTCTTTAGGAGTGACCTCGTGGTCTGGAGTTACTGAGACCTAGACATGAGCTCACTATTTTGCATGTATGTAAGTTAATTTGAGCGTTCTGG